TGAAACCGGGACAGGGAAGAACCATCCGCATGTACCAAGAAGGAACCCCCCACCGCCGGCCTCCGAGCCATGTACTCCGCCACTGCAGCCACCGGGCACAATGCTGCGCCCGGCAGAGCCCATAGCGTAACGTCCCTACCCACGCCACGGACGTCCGTCTTAGAACTACCCAGATGCACAACCACCTTACCCTCCAAAACACGAACCCCTGAGGCCTGCAGACCCCCGGGCACCACCCTACTGGCACTCACCAGCTCCCCCACGCGGAACGCCCCGAAAAATGCCAAGAGAAAAGCCGCTCTGAACAGAGAGACCTCAAACCCGTTGAAACAAATTTCCGGCAACCGACCCACCAGATCCCCCAATACCCGTACCGACACCGGGCGCCTAGAGTCACAGGTCCTGCGGCCCTTTCGATAACCCTTCAGCGCCTGCCGTACTAGGAAGGTCTTAGTCAGATCCTCCGACCCGCGCCATCGGAACCAGAACGCCATTGCCGCCATGGACCTGTCGACCACTGCCGGGGACGCCCCCTTTGCCAGCAATTGGCAGGTGTACCACAGAAAAGCGTCCCGCAGCGCATCCCCACGTAAGCCATGCTCCAACCCGTCTAATGATCGTTCCCAAGAGTCCCAGACCTTACTGTAGGAGGCCCATGTGGCCGGTGCCAGTGAAGCCTTCACAAGTCCCCCAAGCAGGACGCTCCCAGCTGCCATATCTCGTCCGGGCAAGCCTCCCCTTCCTTCAATGCTCCTGGCGCCATCGACCAAAATCGGGACCACTGAAAACGAGACAGAGCGTCAGCCACCTCATTCAGGTACCCAGGGACATGACGCGCGCGAAACACAACATTCCGTGACATACACATCAACACAAAGTGCCGCAGCAACCTAACCACCGGCTTAGAGGCAGCCGATTGATTATTCACCGCATGCACCACCGCCATGTTGTCCGAGAAAAAGACCACTTTCTGGTCCCGGAGCCCCTCGCCCCATAGTGCCATTGCAACGACCAACGGGAATAATTCCAGAAAAGCCAGGTTGCGCATGACTGGGCTAGACCCCCATGCCTCCGGCCACCGCTCCGCGCACCATCTCCCGCCAAAGTAGGCCCCGAAGCCCACACTACCCGAAGCATCCGTGAAGAGCTCCAACTCCGCCGCCGACTTACCCGCCCGCCTGAAAAACACCGTCCCGTTGAAATCCTGCAGGAAGGCATCCCACACGCCCAAATCAGCCCTCATGGTTGCTGACACCCGTATGAAATGATGCGGGGATCGAACTCCTGCCGTAGCAGCCGCCAGGCTGCGGCTGAAAACCCTCCCCATAGGAATTACACGGCATGCAAAGTTCAGCATCCCTATTAGCGACTGCAGTTGCCGCAGCGTAACTTTGCGCGCAACGGTCACCGCAGCTACCGCCCCCTTGAGCCCCTCCAACTTGTCCCGAGGCAGTCGGCATTCACCCAAGATAGAATCTATTTCTAACCCCAAGAAACTAAGGCACGTCGTCGGGCCCTCCGTCTTATCCGCTGCCAGCGGCACCCCAAAGTGGCCCGCCACCCATTCCACGGTCCTAAGCAGTTGCTGGCATGCCGAGGAGGCAGCCGGCCCCACGCAAAAGAAATCGTCCAGGTAGTGCACCACCGAACGGTTCCCCGCCTCGACCCGCACCACCCATTCGAGAAAAGTACTAAATTTCTCGAAATAGGAGCATGAAATAGAACAGCCCATAGGGAGGCACAAGTCCCCGAAATATTTTCCCTCGAAAAAACATCCCAACAGGTGGTGGCAGTCCGGGTGGAATGGCAGCAGCCGAAACGCCGCCTCAATATCCACTTTTGCCATAAGTGCCCCATGCCCGGCCCGTTTAACCAGCTCGACCGCCCGGTCGAATGATGCATACGAGACCGAGCATAGGTCCTTATCAATATCGTCATTCACCGACTCCCCTTTTGGGTAGGAGAGGTGGTGAATGAGCCGGAATTTCCCCGGCTCCTTCTTTGGCACCACCCCAAGAGGGGAAACCCGTAGGTCCTCCAATGGGGGCACCGCAAACGGGCCCGCCATCCGCCCCAGCGCAACCTCCTTGTCTAGTTTCTCCCGTACCACCTCCGGGAAATCCGCCACCGACTTCAGGTTGCGCAACCCCCCCGAACCCCCCGCTCCCGGAAGGGAATAAAGAAACCCCGCCCGAAGCCTTCCCTAAGTACCGAGGCATCAGTCCTGTTACCGTAGCGGCTTAGCCACGGCTCCATCGCGTCTAGCCTCACCGGCGTGAAGCCCCGGGGCAGGGGAAGCATTCCCTCCGGCCCCGGCAGCCGCTCCGGCTGTTCCCGCCTTCCCTTTTTTGAAACAGCGATTGAGCCCATGAGCACCCCCGCAACCGGAGCACTCATGCTTAAATCGACACGCGTTTCCCCATTTGCACTGGCCCTCATTGTAGAGCCAGCAGAAGCCCTTTTGCAAAGCGGCCGACGAGGCGGACTGCCCCTTCGCGCCGGCCGAGTTTGGAAAGGGCTGCGCCTTCTGGGCCATCATTAGCTTCATCCAGAGGGGCAGATCCATCTGATCCCACCTCATCCCCGGGTTAGCCGCCAGTCGCTGCCTGAACTGTTCATCGTATCGCCACCATGCCAGCCCCCCATAGGTGCGATATGCTTCCCAAATGCCGTCCAGGTAGCAGAACAGGGACGAGCATAATCCCGGCGATTTTTCCCCCAGCACGCTGGCTAGCACGCAAAACGCCCGTAACCAGTTGCCAAAGGATTTCGGAATCTTGCGATACCGCTTCCTCTTCTCCTCCTCCTCCTTCTTTTCATCCTTTTTATCCTCCTCCTTGAGGTCAATAAAGTCCTCCAAGGGGAGCAGGGAGAAGATCTCGCAGAACTCACCTTTCCAGAGCTTCTCTTTCACGTCCTGTTTCAGATGAACCCCCAGGGGGCCCGCAAACGAGACGTATGCGTGCTGCCTCGCTGCATCCGGAATACCCCCGGCCAGTTCCGCCTTGTCACCCCCGGCCGCCATCGCCTCGGGCGCCACCCCCACGTCCCCGCCCGAACTAAGCCCCACGGAAACCCCACTAGGACCAGGGACCTCCGTCCCCGGGGCCCAAACCCGACCAACGCCACCCCCCGTGTCACCCCCCGCCCCCAGCGAGTGGAGCAGTGCTTGCAGTGTGCTAACTAAGGAACTGGAGTGTAGTGACCCACAAGACTCACCGGCCAAGCCCCCTGCAACTGACGCGGCAGGGGCTGCGTCGTCGACTGCCCGATGTCCAGGGAGAGCGACTCCCGCCGATACCTCGCCAACCGGGGAGCCAAACCGGTGCCTTGCCCGTGTCGATATGGAACAGCTCCGTGACCTGGAAAGAGGAGAAGAAGTCCTGGGTAGGGTGCACTGAGTATTCGCATCCCCCCCGTCCCGACCCTGGGAGCGCCTGCCCATTGCCAAAGCCTCCCGCTGTGCCCCCTGCACGCGCCGCGCGCGGGAGCCCCTAGGGCTACGGCTCCTCCTGTCTTCTCCGGGCATACGTCCCCGCCGACCACCCCTGGGAACGCTAGACCCGCTCTCTCCTGAGCTCCCTGACCTGGAGCGGCGCTGCCGGGACCTCCCCCTCCTCCCCCTCCTCCCCCGTGGCTCCACTTCCCGAACCGGAGAGGGACTACCACTACAGGACCCTGAACCGGACCCCCCCCCCTACTACCCTGCACCCCCAAACGCTCACCCCTCCGGCTAGAGCCCGACCCCCCACCTGAACTGGCTCCCAGACTAAGGGGACCTAGACCCCCCTCAACTAGACTGGCCCCCCCAACCCCTAAACCAGGCCTACCCGACCCTACCCGCACCGGCCTAGCCCCAGAGCCCAAGGAGGCCCCCTTTCCCCTACCAGGGGAGCCCAGCAGTCCCTCCTCACCCACAGCCCCCCCACCCCTACCACTACTCCCCCCACCTATGACCCCTATGCCCTCCCCATCCACCACCCGCGGTCCCTGGGAGGCCTTCCCACCCCCCACTTGGGCCCTCCGCCCTCCGCCCCCTGTCAGGACCCCCCCAGCACTTTTCCCGCCAAGGGGGCCCCGGCCGGAGCCCCCTGCACTTGCCTTTGGGGCCGGGAACCGGCCACGTGTCCTCCCGGTCCCGGCCCCGCCGATCTCCGCCTCCGACGGGGCGCGCGCCCTCCCGGGCCGCAGCTCCATGCTGCCCGCTCCTCCAGGGGACCGCCCGGCCACGTCCGACCCGGCAGCCGCGACGGCCCCGTCCCGACCGTCCCCCCGGCGCCGGGCACTGGTCCTAGGCTCCGGCCGCTCGCGGGGAGGCGGGGCCTCTACCACGCGGCTGCCGGGCCTGCTGCCGCCCGCACCGGAGCCTCCCGGACCACCAGGGATGTCTTCACCGGGTCCCACACCCGGGCTTAGCCGCTCCGGAGGCCTCCTGGCCCGAACAGGCCGTCGTCCGCCGCCGTCCTGGTCCGCCGCCGCCGCCAGGGCCGGGCCTAACTGGGCCTTCAGCCAGTCAGCCCCCTGGTGCCTCGCCGCCGACCGGATCCGCTCCAGCAGTCGCTCCACTTCCTCCATCGGCCCTGCAGGGAGACAAAAGAAAAAGCCCTACCAAGCCAAATCTGTGCCCACAGGAGCGAACACAAACTTAACCAGGTAGGAAGTTAGAATGAATTAACTAAAATGGCTGCCCATTTAAATAACCAAACCCACTTACCCATAACTCCACTCCCTTGCTTACTTCCTCCTAGGCCCGCCTCCTAACCCCTGTCAAGGCCTTTTTCCGCTTAGCTGCGCTTGGCTACATGGGGCTACAGTACCAGCTGTAAAAGGAAGCCGGATGGGCTGTAACGAGGAATATGTTGTGACAATGCACAGGAATGGGCTGTACAGATCACAGTCTGTTCAAAGTGTTATTAAATGGTTAATATTTAATAGCAATAATTTTGAGTATTTTTTTGAATTTTGTTAAATGTTTTCCAGGCTTTGCTAGTTTCGGTTTTCTTTTTTGGCAATGATTTAATTTCATACATTTTTAACACAGTTTATGCTGACTATGCAAACTAATTAAAGTGACTAATGACAAAATAGTGACTTGTGGTGACTTGGGATCTGAATGCAAAGTTTAAGCTATAATAATCATGTTGGATAAAGGGGCGGACTGACCGGTCGGGCACTTCGGACCGGCTGGGAGGGGGGCCTGTCGCCAGGGCAGCCATCAGGGGGCCCAGCGGTAGGGCCAGATTGGCCCACTGGGGCCGTGGCATCTGGGGGCTAAGCAAGTAGGTGCCACCGGGTGGGCGGTCCGGTGGCACACTCTGAGGGGGCCGGCCGCGTTTCACGCTGGAGCCACCGGGCCGGGTGGCAGCCTCGCTGGTCCAGTGGTACTCCTGTCCTGTCACTAATGCTGAGGATGAAAGGAGGGAGGAACATGTCTCTCTCTCATGCTCCCTTGCGGTTCCCACAATTCCCAGCACAGGATGCACAGAGGAAGAGAGATGTTGGGGAGAGAGAGACACAGGGAAAGGGGGGGAGAAAGAAACAGTGGAAGAGAGAGACACAGGGAGAAAGGAGAGAGACACACAAGGGGAGGGGGAGAAAGAGAAAGAGGGGTAAGAGAGACTGGGAAGGAGAGGGGAGACATGGACACAGGATCAGTGAGGGGGAGAAAGAAACACCCAGAGGGACTGGGGGGAGACAAAAAGGCACACAGAGGGGCTGTATATATCACTGGTGGATCCAGGGGGGCAACGGGGCAATTGCCCCCCCTCCCCTGCCGGCCGATCTCTCTCCCCGGTCCGCAGGCACCATGCAGGGGAGGGAGGAGCCTGCAGCTCCTCTGGGTCCTTCTTGCGCGAAAACAAAGCATTGCCACGGTTACCACGGCAATGTTACGGCTCTCGCAAGAGTCAACTCTAGCCCTGGAGCTACGGTCTAGAGTTCACTCTCATCACTGTGACCACCAGGGATTCCTGGTGGTCGCAGTGGTGAGAGTGAACTCTAGCCCCATAAACACACTGCCCACCCACACACCATACACATTCACACACTGCTCCCACACACACACCATACACATTCACACACTGCCCCCCATACACACCATACACATTTACACACATTGCCTCACACACACACATACACTGCCCACCCATACACACAAAGACCCCCATACACAGACCCCCATACACACATTTCCCCACACACCCTACACATTTACACACTACACCCCCCCAGACACACTGAACCTTTCACACACACTGCACCCCTCACACATTGCACCACTGCTCCTATACCCTACTACAGCCCCATATCCCAACAGACCCCAGGTAAGTTGTCAAACTGTTCTTAAACGGTTTGACTACTTACTCTGGGAGGGGGTCCCGGCCCTACTGGCACCATAACCACTACACAGAGCAGTAGTGGTTATTGTGCATGGATTATTTCTTTAAATAATCTACACGTGCCCCAGTAGCCAGCAAGCCAGCCAGTCCACAGGCCGGCCAACCAGCCAACCCACAGGCTGGCCAGCCAGCCAACCCACAGGCTGGCCAGTCAGCCCACAGTTTGGCCAGCCAGCCAGCCCACAGGCCAGCCAGCCAGCCAGCCCACAGGCCATCAGTTAGCCAGCCCACAGGCCTACAGCAAGCCACAGGCTTACAGCCAGCAAGCACACAGCATGCCAGTTGTAGCCAGCAAGCCACAACCTGCCAGCCGCAGCCAGCAAGCCACAGCCTGCCAGCCACTGCCAGCAAGCCCACAGCCTGCCGGCAGTAGCCAGCAAGCCCACAGCCAGCCGGCAAGCCACAGCCTGCCAGCCGCAGCCAGCAAGCCCACTGCCTTCCAGCAAGCCCACAGCCTGCCAGGAAGCCACAGCCTGCCAGCCGCAGCCAGCAAGCCCACAACCTTCCAGCAAGCTCACAGACTGCCAGCTAGCAACAGTAATTAAGTTAAGAGGAGCCAACTTGGCCTAGGTATCAGCGAGCTATGTTGTGTTGCTATATTGTGAATAGGAACCAGAGTGTTGGAGAGACCCCCCTCAAGGCCCCATTAGACTCCATTGTAGTCTCTAATGGGGCCTGGAGGAGATTCTTTCTAACACACTCTCTAAAGGACACTGAGATAGCCTCTGCTAGAATGACCCCCCCTCCATGGCCCATTAGCCCTCAATTGTAGTCTCCACTGGGGTCTGGAGGCGACTGTTTCCAGCAGGGGCTATCTAATGGATGCTGAGATGGCCTCTGTTAGAAAGACCACCTTCCAAGCCTATTAGACTCCATTGTAGTCTCTAATGGGGCTTGGAGGGGATTCTTTCTAACACACTCTCTAAAGGACACTGAGATAGCCTCTGCTAGAAAGACCCCCCTCCCATTAGCCCATATTTGTAGTCTCTACAGGGGCCTTGAAGGGATTATTGCACTTTTGTTCCTTGTGTCTAAAGATTGTGTAGGGTGTGGCTGGAGGCGGGACAAGGTGGTGCTTTCTGCGGAGCATGGGTGCGGCCTGTAAGGGGGCCCTTGATTTATTTTGCCCAGGGGCCCTGAGGGCTCTCAGTCCGCCCCTGGTTGGATAGAACCTTCTGTTCAGCGAAGGTGGCAATTTTTCCATCTTTTCTAATGTAGTTGCGATTAGGTTCTCACATCACCAGAGTTGTTTTTGGGATGGATACCTTCTCCTATGACTGACGGATCCCTTCAGGATAAAAATGAATATGGAAGTAATTCAAGTTTCATTAGACCTTATGGAAAGATGTCTAACCCTTACGTAAAAATGATCCTCAGGAACTTATTTAAAAATACTGCTGGAAATATGTTTGACTCAAACCATTCTGTATCAGTCTTTATATGTATTAATCACGAGGAGTCCAGCTCTCCCTCTCATTTGAGACTAATTTTACATATTACTTCTCTATTGTGAACTCGTGTCTGGAGTTAGTTGACGTTAGTAAAGGTTGTGGTTGTTGAAAGGCGAAGACACATACAGAAGAAAAACCCATTGTGGTCTGTAGGAGTGCAGAGCCGGAATGACAATTTCTTTTCTTTTTACATTCAAATGTCTCTACATGCTAGCATGGGATCCCCCACATGATGTATCTGTGATATTTGGGTGTGGATTGTAAAATAGCAAATACATTTACTGGTGAAATGGAGGGTAACTGAGATAACATCGACGGCAGGTCCATAAGTTCTGTGTGTATCACATTAACCTTTTATTTCCATCATCATATCTTCTGGGTTTGGGATAGATGATGCTGTGACTCCCTCTAACTTAGTTTGGTCATGTAGGCCACTTGTGTGGACGTAGTGGGGAGTTGTGTGTAGTTCCCCCTTTTATTATACCCCCTTTACAATAATGTGACATGAGACATAGTTGGTGAAAATAGGCCACAGCTTTTTATTAAATATTTCACCAAACGATATTACCAATACTTTGTATCTCATAAATATATATATATACATATATATATATATATATATATATATATATATATATATATATATATATATATATATATATATATGTATATAGTATCCAAATAGAAATGGCTGCTCACCGGTCTTTAAAAAATGAAATTTTATTTAATGAAGTTTAAAAATAGTGACCAACGTTTCAGTCCCTGTTCAGGACTTTCTTCAGGGTCAAAAAATAACAGGACAACAAATATTATGCATACTAACAAGTAATATATAACCATATAATTAAAATAAAGCTCACCCAGGTGCGTTACACCCACCTCCTGTCGGAACCATAGGAACTTCTGGGTGTGCGCGCGCACCTGCTCACATGCTCCGCCCCCGTGCGTATTGACGTCGTGTGGAGTCCGGTCACCATGGTGACCTATACACACCAATCCTCCTCCTGTACGAAGAGAGAATTAAGTTGTATAGGGAGAGAACCAAGCTGTGAGCCCAAATGTAAATAAATGATTAGTGCTATTCAGGACAGTGATACAGTGCAAGCATGCTGAAACATGCTAAAATGTTATAGAATAGTAGTAAGGGTATCTAAACCCAAATATGAATAATAAGGAACAACCTAATGTTCTCATGTTTAAAGTGACTTTAGTCTAATTAATAAATCAGATAGTGATGCTGCAATCACAATATTCAGTGATATAGTGATTAAAGTTTATGCATTACAAAGAGCTTAAAGGACCACTATAGTGCCAGGAAAACATACTCGTTTTCCTGGCACTATAGTGCCCTGAGGGTGCCCCCACCTTCAGGGTCCCCCTCCCGCCGGGCTCTGGAAGCGGGAGAGGGGTTAAAACGTACCTTTTTCCAGCGCTGGGCGGGGAGCTCTCCTCCTCCGATCCTCCTCCGTTCCTCCCCGTCGGCTGAATGCGCACGCGCGGCAAGAGCTGCGCGCGCATTCAGTCGGTCACATAGGAAAGCATTCATAATGCTTTCCTATGGACGCTTGGGTGCTCTCACTGTGATTTTCACAGTGAGAAGCACGCAAGCGCCTCTAGTGGCTGTCAATGAGACAGCCGCTAGAGGAAATAGGGGAAGGCTTAACCCATTCATAAACATTGCAGTTTCTCTGAAACTGCTATGTTTATGAAAAAATGGGTTAACCCTAGCTGGACCAGGCACCCAGACCACTTCATTAAGCTGAAGTGGTCTGGGTGCCTAGAGTGGTCCTTTAAGCCAAAAAAGTGATATCATGCATTTAAAGTGACAAAGTGTTGTGCCATATTTTGAAAAACCAAACATAAATAAAACTGACTATGTTATGCATACATAAATAATATATAAATTCACATACATCATATACCCAGTTTGTGGGTATAGATCACATCCCTCCCCCTCGTATGGGTGGCAATAGAGGTATAATGTTGCTCCAAAAAGAAGCTTTTTGGATACACCAATTAAATACGGTGTCTCCTATGGGGCTCAATGAGAATATTACGTATAATGCCTTTATCTAAAATAGCTCAGCTTGTTACTAACATTTGTTTTTAAATAATATATAAATAGTATGTACTTTGGGGATAGGGATTCAAGCTTTAGAACATGCAAATTAGATGTAGTTTCTATGATGTAGATGTTGTATGTGAATTTATATATTATTTATGTATGCATAACATAGTCAGTTTAATTTATGTTTGGTTTTTCGTGTGATCCTCAGACCCCTTGTAAGACCATATGCTGGTGCGGTTGGCCCTGGGTTCCTCCTAATGCAAGACAATGCTAGACCTCATCTGGCTGGAGTGTGTAAGCAGTTCCTGCAAGACAAAGGCATTGATGCTATGGACTGGCCCACCCGTTCCCCATACCTGAATCCAATTGAGCACAACTGGGACATCATGCCTCGCTCCATCCACCAACGTCATGTTGCACCACAGGCTGTCCAGGAGTGGGCAGATGCTTTAGTCCAGGTTTGGGAGGAGATCCCTCAGGAGACCATCCTCCACCTCATCAGGAGCATGCACAGGCATTGTAGGGAGGTCACACAGAGACATACAGGGCACACACACTACTGAGCCTCATTTTGACTTGTTTTAAGGACATTACATCAAAGTTGGATTAGCCTGTAGTGTGTTTTTCCACTTTAATTTTGAGTGTGACTCCAAATCCAGACCTCCATGGGTTGAAAAATTTGATTTCCATGTTTTAATTTTTGTGTGATTTTGTTGTCAGCACATTTAACTATGTTAAGAACAAAGTATTTCAGAAGAATATTTAATTCATGCAGATCTAGGATGTGTTATTTTTGTGTTCCCTTTATTTTTTTGAGCAGTGTATATATATAATCTTTAAAAATTTGGGCATCAAACAACATAACAATATAGCTTAACAATGTTCCATAAACATACCAGTCCTTGCCAATCAGCCGGGCCTTCCCACGGAGGGGGGTCAAGGTTAGAAGTGCACGCGGGAACCAAGGAAGTACCCCCAGGGCTCTGGGGGGCGTGGCAAGATCAGACAGGGCGCAACGCAGTCAGGTGGGTCTGGCGGACCGCACTTTGGAGGGCGCAGAGCCCGCCAGTAGGAAGAGTCGCAAGCAGGCGGGACAGAAGGGTCGCGCTTCGGTCAGGAGCCACAGGGACGAGGGGTGTCAGTACCCTGCGCAGGGCAGGTCGCGGAGTCGCAGATCCTCTGGCACAGGCCGTAGGCGCGGGTCAGGCCTGGATGCCGGCGCTGGGCAGGTCGAATCAAGGCCAGAGTCATGTCCCCCTAGAGGTGTTGGTATTGCCGCACGGGTGGCTCCTGATGCCAGTGGTTCCTCGGGGGAGCACTCCGTTGTGGCCCCGAGGCATGGACCCATGTGCAGATGGGAGCGGAGCAGGAGTCCCAGAGGTAAGGCCAGTGGGGCCTCTGGGGCTCCTGATGGCCAGCAGGGCCAGGAACGGGGGCGAGATGCCAGGAGGAGGCCGCAGCGCTCCCGGGGATACCCAGGGAAGGCTAACACGGAACAGTACAACCGGCCCAGGCTTTCTTCTTCTTGTTCCAGGTCTGACAGTGGATCATGTTCTGGCTATTCCAGGCATCGTTTGGACCCCCCCAGTTTGCGGGAGAGAGGAAGTGTCGGTACAGTGTGACCTGGTGGGACCCCAAGGAGCAGCCGCTAGGCCGTTGCCTACAAGGGGCTTGGGCGGTGAGTTGAACTCTTTTTCCCCTTCACTTGCATTGTTACACTCTATCCAACAGCTAATTGACACGTGGGATAAAAGGGGTACACAGCCGTCAGATGCAGGGCGGGTATGGGCTCCGGCGGCAGAGGCCGCTGACGGGGTTGCGCACACCTCACAGGGTGTCGCGGTGGGAGGACTGGTGGTGACGGAACCCGGCGAACGAGAGGGTGGACTTGGCGGGGGGCGTGCCTGACACGGCGCGGCAGAATGCGTATGTTTCATTCGCGGGCCCACTGGGGTACACCTCAAGCAGGACATGAAGGACAGGATTTGGAAGGGTGAGTTTGTAGAGGTTTTCGCGCTCCTCCCCCTGGAGAACTACATAGACCTCAAGGAGGAGGAGAAGAAGGACGCAAAAAAGGAGGAGGAGGAGAAGCGTAAGAGGTATCGCAAGATACCCTAGTCATTTGGGAACTTGCTTCTGTATCCTAGCCAGTGTGTTTTTCGTAACTTGAAGTCGGCAGGGGTGGTCTGGGAGAAGAGGTTCAGTTGGGGCGCATTGATAAAGCCGTTCCAGGACCTCCCGATACCGGGTTTGAGGTTGTCCCCGTTAGGGGTGGTCCCCAAGAAGGAAGCGGGGAAGTATCGGCTCATACATCACCTGTCGCACCCGAAAGGGAGCTATGCTCGGTCTCATACGCATCATTCGACCACGCGGTCGAGCTGGTTAAGAAGGCCGGGCAGGGGGCGCTGATGGCCAAGGTGGACATCAAGGCGGCGTTCCGGTTGCTACCTGTGCATCCGGTATGCCACCACTTGCTGGGGTGTTTTTTCGAGGGCCACTACTTCGTGGACCTTTGTCTCCCGATGGGCTGCTCAATATCGTGCTCATACTTCGAGAAGTTCAGCACCTTCCTGGAATGGGTGGTTAGGGAGTAATACGGGCATCGGTCGGTGGTTCACTACTTGGATGACTTCCTCTGTGTGGGCCCGGCTGGTTCTCAGGTATGCGGCTACCTGCTGTGGATGGTTGAATGGGTGGCGTGTGTGTTTGGGGTACCGCTAGAGGCAGGGAAGACTGAAGGCCCCACAGAGTGCCTCTGCTTCCTGGGACTGGAAATCGACTCCCTGCGGGGAATGTCGCTTGCCCCAGGACAAACTGCTGGGGCTGCGTGGCGCGGTGGCGGACGTCCGCCAGGCTCGCAAGGTTACGCTGAAGCAGATACAGTCGCTGATAGGTAAGCTCAACTTCGCATTTAGGGTCATCCCACTGGGGCGGATTTTCAGTCGCAGTCTCTCTTAGGGTATCCAAGCCGATGCGGGCTGACCTTGAGGTGTGGGACACCTTCTTGGAGCACTTTAATTGGACGGTGTTCTTTTGCAAACCGGCGGTGGCGGCGGCTGACTTGGAACTGTACACGGACGCCTCGGGCAGCGTAGGCTTCAGGGCTTATTTCAAGAGGAGGTGGTGCGCAGAGGCTTGGATGGTAACATGGGTGGGTAGCCCACTGATGTGGAAACTTGGCCTTTCTCAAGCTTTTCCCCCTGTTAGTGGCACTATCACTCTGGGGAGATCTCCTCCGGGATCAAAAGGTGATGTTTTACACAGACAACTTGTAAATCAGCCGCTTCAGGCCTGGTGGTACGCCTTTTGCGCCGCTTCGTGTTACTGTGTATGTCACTCAACTTAGTATTCTGTGCGCAACATGTCCCAGGGTATTTGAATGTCGTGGGTGATGCACTGTCTCGTTTGCAGTGGTCCCGATTCCGCAAGGAAGCGCCAGAGGCGATGGAGGAAGGTCAGGAATGCTGTGGGGAGATGTGGAAGCTAGGGACGGCATGCTTGGAAGACTCGTGAGGTCGTCAGTGGCCCCCAGTACATGGACGGCTTATAGTAAAGTCTGGGATGCCTTGGAGCAGTCTCTGGGAGGATTGGACCTGGTGATGGTCCGAGGTTCCAAGCTGGATGCGCTGCTATGGTATGTTTTCCGGCTATTGGCAAAAGGCCTGTCCCCGGCGGTGGTGTAACGACAGATGTCAGTGATCGCGTTCTGGTCCGAGATAGTTCCCCAGCTTCGTTGGCGGCATGCACAGGTTTCGACAGCTATAGGGCGCTGCCGAGAAAAGGTTAACGGGTTGATGGCCAGTTTCGTGAGGAAGCTGGGAGGGGTGGTAGTTCGGCACAGGGAACTAGAGGACATGCTACCAGGGTACTTCAGAGATGATGGGGTGCACTTCTCGGAGGTGGGGATCGATTTATTTAATTTGGGGATTCAGGAGGGTCTGGACAATGCTCTATTTCTTCTGGGTGGTGGAGCTCAGACGGCTTAAGGGGTCAAGGTCTGAGCTTGTGGCGGGCTAGTGGAAGGAAAGTTAAGGGGGTAAAGAGCAAGAGTAGTGAGTTGGCTGTTTCAATATGGACTGGTTACCTGTTGGTAAGATGTTGGTGGTTTCGAGCTTGGTGGTAGCTCAGAACCCAGGTGGTGTAGGGGTATCAAGGTATACCCCTGCCAGGACCGTGTGGAAAATGTTGGATCTTGTTTTGTTATACTTATGGATTGTTATACAATGTTATGTTATGTTATATATGATGGGTCATTGCCTTGCGAATTGATATGTGGAAAATGATAATGATGGATGGCTGAGGATGTGGGGGTGGGCAATGACTTTTATGTTATTTATATATTATTGTTATTATTATTATATATTATAAATAAAAGCTGTGGACATATTGACCCATACCCTAAAGTGTCAGTGTTTCATTGGTGTGGGTTGGGAAAAAGGTAATGGTCAGCTCCTCCAGCCCATATGGCGACAATGCACCTGTCAAGAGTCTTGCACACACGTCTGCAGCCTCTGTAACCATGTCTCACCAAATAACAGAGAGCCCACTCTTCTTCTGGAGAACTATAGCCTGAAATGTTTTATTGGACACAAGGACTAGACACAAATAACACAACATTGAACTTATAGTGACATATCAAAAATAACAGATACAATATAATAGTGTTTGGAAACAGGTACAAAACATCAAAATACAATAAATCTAACTTCTCTATAGGTGGGGAGAACATCAGGAGAACACAATGAATAAAGCATAGAGCTCTCTAACTGCTATTGACATGGTAAACATTTATATGCAAATTCCCTATCTTAAACCTTGAGATTTTTCACACAGCATTCTCACAGCAATGCTAATTGAGAAGGACTTCAATGCCAATCTGCAGTTGTGGGAACGTTAATACAATATAATTATACTCATTATCTCTGTTAACTTCTTCTGTCAGGTTATTATTGTAACATTAACAATTAGAAGATACAGAGTGTCTAGTTAGTGACATATTTAGAGCTTCCTCTCTAGGGATCTACCTCTGCTGTGTTTATACACATCATGTCTGGAAGTGGAGCAGTCACCACGTAAACCAACAGAACGTTCCTACTGACTGCTCCACATTTAGCACTTTGTAACATTTTTGCTCTTTCTACTTGTGGCTATGTATCATAGAGTGTAGAAATAAATTCAGATCACGATACGCTCTGTGCACATCCTTCATGTTTTTGCCCATTCGTTGTCTCTTCTGGTTCCACACTATGAACCGTATCTTTCTTCCTGATTTGTAATTCCAGGAGTATTTCACGCTATTCTCCATCTCGTTGAAGCACACAATAGATTGTTTGTGCTTTTGCCGTCTCCGGTGGATTTTTTGCCTGCTAAGTATCAGACATGAGTCAGTGCATTACACCAGCCTGTACAGATAAAGTCTATACATGTATAATATACTGATTACCATATATACTTGAGTATGTTGACCTGAATATAGGTCGAGACCCCTAATTTTACACCCAAAAACTGGGAAAACTTATTGACTTGAGTATAAGACTAGGGTGGGAAATGCAGCAGCTACTGGTAAATTTCTAAATAAAATTAGATCACCCAAAAAATTATATTAATTGAATATTTATTTACAGTGTGTATATATAATGAATGCAGTGTGTGTGTGTGTGTGTGTGTGTGTGTATATGAATGCAGTGTGTGTGTGTGTGAATGCAGTGTGTGTGATGCAGAGCCTTGGTGGGGGTGGGCATTTATTTAAAAATTATTATTATTATTTTATTTTAATGTTATTACATTTTTCTTATTTTATTGTTATTTACATTTTTATTTATATATTTTTTTGTCCCCCCTCCCTGCTTGTTAGCTGGCCAGGGAAGGGGGCTCTCATTCCCTGGTGGTCCAGTGGATGGGCTGTGTAGGAGGGGGGCTGGCGGAGAGCTGTTACTTACCTTTCCTGCAGCTCCTGTCAGCTCCCTTCTCTCTCCTCCGGTCCGGTCAGCTCCCTTCTCCTCCACTGCAAGTCTCGCGGTGTGACTGCCGCGCGGAGCATTGCCACTGTAACCCGTGGCAACACTCTGATCCCATGGCTGTCGCTAGACTTACAGTGGTGGAGAAGGGAGCTGACCGGACCGGAGGAGAGAGAAGGGAGCTGACAGGAGCTGCAGGAAAGGTAAGTTACAGCTCGCTGCCAGCCCCCAACAGGACTGCTGGGCTTGTAATGAGCCCGGCGGTCCTTGTCTGTATTATGACGAGGGAAGGAGGTATCATTAGAAAGGGAGCAGGGATATAGACGATAGTTAGAGTGGGAGGAGAGGTCAAGAGGTGTTTTTTTCAGGATAGGTACTACAGTGGCATGTTTAAGGTCAGCAGGGACAACGCCAGAAGAGAGGGAGCAGTTGAAGATGTGTGTTAAGGAAGGCACAAGACGTATAAACTGAAAAGAGACTTGCATCCGTCAAGTTCAGCCTTTATCACATCTGTTGATCCAAAAGAAGGCAATCAATTCCAATCCTTAAAAACATAGGATCCAGTTTTGGAATTGTAGTGGTGGCATCTATCAATGTAGCAATATTTATGTAGAAGTGGAACATAGCTAAATAATACACAGACTGTGAAATCTTAACATTAATTAAATAAGCAGCAGAGAATATAAACATATAATTTCACATGCTGTAACTTGCTCGGAATTCTAAACGTTTGCCTAGGCTACATGCAAACAGATAGCAGAGCTTCAGTGACATTGTAGAATTTGAGTTAAGGGGCCCCTCTAGGAATCTCATTCGATAGAGTTCATTCCATTATTATAACCGAGTTATTCACTAAACAGTGAATGAAGCAGATAAAAGATGACTCTGTTCTCTGTTTCGTTCCCAAACCTGAAAATAAAGAAGCACTTTTTTTTTGTATTCAGATAAAGGCTGATACTGAACCCTAGGCTGGGCAGAGCTCACTGCAGAAGCTGAAAACTCTGTCTATTTGCAGCGAACACGGGAAAATCAAAGGTGAGACTTTTATTATTGTTCACGTTATATATATTTTTACATTGATTGTCCTTACAAACACATTTTTGGGAGTCAATGTCAGACTGTAGTGTCCCTTTAATATATGGGATGGATAGAAACTTGTTGATAAAATCAACAAAGGGCAGCGTTTATTAAGGATCAGAGACTTTCTCTAGTTCATTACCCTCTAATATATTATCATTAGTCCTTACACAGGAGGAGTCTGCTTTATTTGAATTACACATAATGAGGGCCTTAAATACATCTTAAAGGACCACTTTAGTGCCAGGAAAACATACTCGTTTTCCTGGCACTATAGTCCACAGAGGGTGCCCCCACCTTTAGGGTCCCTCTCCAGCCGGGCTCTGGGGGGAGGAAGGGGTTAAACTTACCTCTTTCTCCAGCACCGGGTGGAGAGCTCTCCTCCTCCTCTCCTCCCTCCTCTTCTGTCACCGGCTGAATGCGCATGCGTCAGTCCGTAGCCAGTTCAGCCAAATCACAGTGAGAAGCACGGAAGCCCTCTAGTGGCTGTCAATGAGACAGCCACTAGAGGCTGGATTAACCCATTTATAAACATAGCAGTTTCTCTGAAACTGCTATGTTTATAAAAAAGAAGGGTTAAACCTAGCTGGACCTGGCACCCAGACCACTTCATTAAGCTGAAGTGGTCTGTGTGCCTATAGTGGTCCTTTAACCCCTTAAGGACACATGACATGTGTGACATGTCCTGATTCCCTTTTATTCCAGAAGTTTGGTCCTTAAGGGGTTAAATCATAAAACATGCGTGTTCTCAGAAACACTAATCCAATCCATGATTTTGGTATCTATGGTGATTGTTCAAGAAGTTGTACTTTGCCTTAGAATTGCTTTAATAAACAAGTCCCCTATCTGACTATCTGATAGGGGAGCGCAGTTTAACATTGCGCAGTATAGAAGTGCTATGTGTATGTAGAGCCCATCTGTAGTAGGTTCGACTCTCTGCTCTCCTGTTTTGGGATCTGTCTTTTGTAGGATTGGATAGAACTCTGATATGTCATTAAAGAAATGTAGAAAATAAACAAAGTGGGTGATTGGCTGAAACGCACATCGCAAAGGAAGAATAGTAAGATGATTGGCTAATCTAGCGGGGGTTAATGTGGGAGGACAGCATTGAGGAAGGGTTCCATATTTATATTTGCAGTCTTTAGTTAGAACTATTAATAATTATTAATCCCCTGTGGAAGTCCATTCATACACAGACAAAAAACACGTAGGGTGTTGTATTTTGCTTTTGTATTTTTTGTTGTATTTAACGACCAGAGATGTTAACGCATGGGGTTCAAATTATTGCTATTTATAGCTTTTTTAAATTCAATTTGTAAGTGTAATTTTATGTCAATAGAATATTTAGCTTTTTAATTATCAACTCAGTCTTCCTTGCTATTTATTAATGTATGGTTTACACTCACATACACTGTTCTTGTATACTCCTCTATGAGCTGTTTGTAGTCCTGCTGTTATGAACTAAGAGGGTATTTCCATGTTTTAGGTTTTGCCACATGCCAGAGAAACGTGGGTTGGCCATGTGGAAGTTGTATGTATAATGACTGCTAACAGATGGACATTCTGCTGCTATACATAAAGTGATATATAGATGTTTGTACAATGATGTGTTTGTTCATGCTTAGTTTAGATGTAGCGCCAGAGAGGTGACTGTTCCAAAGTGATGAAGTATTAGCTTAAGAAGATTTAAAGATACACAGCCACTCCTAAAAACACCACAAGGAGGGGCTGAGAAATTAAGGTTAGAAAGAGCACTGACACCCATCTCTCCATTTACTGGACAAAGAAATAAAAGAAACCATAAAATCCGTACTTGAGAGACACAAAAAGAGATCATTGCATACTTGGTCGTCCGCAGGATTTTTCAGCTTGTTTTACTATTCTTCGT